CTCTCAATGTGATTTTGTTCCTGAACTAAATGACGTCAGCGATTGCCATGGTAAACACATGTTTGCTTACTTGACATCTCACTTATTCAAGAATCATTGATAGTCTAAAGAACTATTTATACCGAAAGAAATTCTATTAAGAAGCGACGCTGCTGCACAAAAGACATCTGTCTGCAGCGAAGCTATATTAGATGCTAGACTCACTGTGGCCCTAGAAGATATGGTGACCAGAAGATATCGGTTTCGAGTTTTTGAAGTCCAAAAGAGACAACACATGAGGAGCTGCAATGGAGGAGCGTGAATTATTCCGATCTGTCTCACGTTGACCGAAATGTTGGGACTTTTGAAGTTATTCAAAAGGCCATTAAGATATTTAAAACCATGCATCATTCCTGTCTTCTCACAAATTTCCATTACATCCTTGAATTTATGTCTATCTACCCATTGATTTATCAATGATTCATCGTTAAGTGTAACAAATTTTTGTTTTGGTTCAACCTCGTTTTCGCACCATGGTCGGAGCGCCAGGAAGATCTTGTGGAACGTTCCTAGTCCTGTATCGGACCAATGACTTGATACATTCAAAAACGTATCGCGGACATCGTAGTCAGCATCGTCGGTGAGAGGTACCATCGTTAGCACAGAGTTACAACTGATCAAAGTGACTAATTTTCTGCTCAACCGTTGTGGCATCAATCCTCGCCCATATTTTTTTCTTACCTTATAGTGCTGCATCTTCTTCTCTAAACCCCACTTTATATAATCCCTTTACCTATTCACACCATTCTGGGCTCTCGTTTCCTCCAATATTGGATAAGAGTGTGTCCCTACAAGTGGGTTTATTGAAGCATAATCGTCTTCCCTCCCCTTCCCCCCGATACCTGGTGCTGTTTGTAAGGCTCCTGACCATCATTCGGTCCGCCTTATCTCGTAACCGGCTTGTATATTGGTCGCTGGTAAACATCAACATTACTACGCAAGTATGGAGAGAAGCTGAGTTTCGCCTCTTCAAGCGGAGCAAAAGGTACTCCAACATCAAAATCACATTCTGGCTGATGTTGGAGTACCTTTCATTACGTTTGAAGAGGCGAGTGAAAGGGATTCGTAAGTTGGTCTCACCGGAAACTGTTGGAGCCTTGGAGTTGTGATTATAGATTCGTGTGAATAGTTCCTCGGCGCTCCGCAGAACTAAAATCCGACATATAACGCACATCGTCAAAGCAGGACACCAGCCCTAACGATAATTCGCCGAAACACGAAGGTGGCGTCTTCAATAGTTCAATTTGGTCCACTTATGCATCTCATGTTTTGGTTGGATATCCTGTACCTTGTCTAAATGTTTGCTCAAAAGTAAAGTGGCTGCGAATAGCATGTAAAGTGGTAAAGATGAAGCGTGAAACGAATGCAATTGCGATTGAACAGTTGCATACTCCCTAAAACGCATAGACCTGTGATCCTGCAATGTTTCCTCGTGTGATTGCGTTCCCCTGCACGCGTGGTGTGGGAATACATGGCTCTTGAAATGAGTGTGATGTGAGAGTCAAAAGCAGGTTCGAGCCTAATTAAGCCTCCTCCTCTTGTTCAGCGGTACTTCTCGCTCCCCCGTCTCTCTCTCTCTCTCTCTCTAAACCTATCCAACAGTCACAGGTAGTTTCCACTTAACTTCCTAAACTTATTCCTCTTATTCAGGGTTTTGGCTGTTTTGTTGACTTCTATCGCTTCCCTAATCTTTCGCTCACTGGTATAGTTCCCATATCCAGCTAAATGTTTGGAAGTAGACCCGTCTA